TGTCAGCAGGTAGTCGAATGATTCCTCATCAACCTCTGTCTTTGACTCATCAAAGACTTTAACATCCATTGTAGGACGATTTTTTGGCAACTGAAGGAAGACAAACCATTGGCAAACTGACAAAGGCCAGCAATGCCAAAGGAAGTAAGAGAGTTATTTTTATTCAACATAAAACACAATCATACACTTATATTACTATTTAAAAAAAATCTGAGGGAAAAGTATTAATGATATTAACAATGTTAAAGTTTATTTCTTACCACATTCCAAAAACATTTCAAATGTAAAAGGTTTTTAAGAAAAAATATATTTCCTTGAACTTCATGCCAATGTTGTTGGTTTATATTTCCTTGAACTTCATTCTGACAATGTTGTTGGTTTGCATCCTGAAGGAACCAAAAAGACAAAGTTAAACAGGGCGATAACACTCACAGTCAGATGATGAAAAATCATTCATTAGTGCACTACACAACATGCGTTATCTTTGTTCACTAATGGGTTTTTAATTTGTAATAACTGTCCAATAGTTCTGTTAAAGCATGGTGCTCAATAGCTCTATTCGGACGGTAATGGTTTCTCATGTGGATGTCTGTAAAAATAAATCTGCATGGCACATCAGTGATAAAACCCATGTATTCAGATGTCGTTTTATTCATGGAGAAGTGAGTTTTGTGATCCTTCAAACCTGGGAATGCGCTGTTCACGTGGTTGCATGATTGTCTGCTGTAAATACAATAGGCTATGCTTGGAAAAATATGAATAATTTCATATTTAATTTAAAAATAGGAAAATATTATAACATAATTTTTATTATGTGGTTATTTGAATCTCCTGTTTAAAAATATGAAGACAGACACGCAATAGAAATTATTTTTTTTATCTCAAAGTGATGGATGTCATTTTAAAATATAATAATTAAAATAAGTTAATTCAGCCTTATATTTACATGAGGTAAACATTAAATTGCTTGGTTTATATCTTTAATGTATATAGCCTAATTGTAGGCTAATATTAACAACTTGCTGTATGGCCCATTTCAAATGTTTATCTGTTTTTTCCCTCTTTCTCCTCTGGCTGAGGAGGAGCGCTGATGAAATATTGTTCTTGTAAATAGCCTACTTCCCAGCATTTCAGTAATAAAAGTGTACATTAAAAATGCATGCAAATTACAGTGAAGCGCAAAAGTTATCGTACGGTGTTGCGCAGTGATCAAAAAGGATTCAAACGGTGAAATTTGAATTGAAACACCGACATTCTGCAATAAAATCACCGACTAGCCCCTGTAAATGTTGAAAATACCTTATGTTCCCATGAGAAACAGTTAACATACCGTCCGAATAGGGCTAATACACATCAAAATGCTCCAACAATACAATTAAGGCTAAGGTTAACTTAACTCTTTACGGAGTCAAGTACATGTGGTGCACAACTTGAACCACTCGTCACAATAGTTTAGTGGACAGACAATTGATAGGTAGCTAGCTAGTTTCACTGGTGTCAATTAACGTTCGTAATGTTCATACTGTATGTTAGCTAACAGTTATTTGCTTTCAAGATAACTTTGCCTAATTTAGTTCTCAAGCTAACATGAGAAGCGATCTCGATTATAATGTTCAAAAAACGTGGCAAAATAATCTGAGCTCAAAACAGAGGCGAATATTATTAAAATAAATACTAAGACTTTGAAACTTTACTTACTTTACCATCCAGCAGAAGCGCATCTTCTCTTCTAAACCCACAAGCAGCAGTAACAGTAATGGCGGATCAACGAAGGGAGGAGAACAGTTTGGGGAGGAGTCACAGTTCCTCTGTAATTTTGCTCCCACTCTACTGACACATTTTACTCTGTACACTCAAAATAGAGTAAAAACATTTTTTTGAGGAAAAAAATATTAACTCTGGAAAAACTACTCTGCCATTTTTCCTGTGTATGTAGAATTTTAAACCTATAAGTAAGTGTATTTTTATGATAGCACTAACTGTAAAGTGACTGTAATGGGGTAATCAAAATAGCCTAATACAAGTCTGTGCTTTTGTTTTTATTTATTTAACAAATGAAAAAATCAAAAAACAAAATAGCTAGTCAGAAACAATTTTCATTTTTTTTTTTTTAAATGAAACGAGCATAATGAACGAGCATAATGTTTTTAGATTGTAATGTTACAATGTTATTATGAAATGTGATTTTGACCCTTTTTGCACATAATATATAGGCTTACATTGTTGCATTCACTTTATTAGTTGTCATAGCCTTTAATATATTGTTTCGTTGGACAACATTGGGCAGTATGTAAAATATATACTGTATATTAAATACCGATAAAAAAATAAAAATCCAGATACAAAAACGAAAATACCAAGATATATACCGTATATAGCAAATCGGCCAAATAATAGAGATATGAAGTTTTGCCCATATCACCCAGCCCTACCCATTAGCACTATATTTACATTATTTTATTAAAACTTCTGCCGCAGTGTGCTGTACTTAATTGACTGCATGTCTTGATTGACAGATGTATCATCCAATCTGCTGTAAGTATTCAATTCACAAAATATATCTAATCTTTTCCATTTTGTCATTGTGTTTTCTGACTTGCCATTTCGTTTTTAGACTTGGCGCTGCATTTATAGTTTGACGTTTTGTTTTTGGATTTGTTAAATTGTTTTCATAATTGTGATTTGTTTTGCACGTCTCGGCCACTGTGGATTTCATAATTAATTAAAAACACATTAAAACTCACCCTAAGAAATCGTACCACATGGTCAGCTGCCTGAAGGGGGCTGATCTTTGCTGCCTTCTTGTGACCTTTTGGAGTTGGGGGCAGGAGATACAGCAGCAACAGTAAGGCTGAGATGTCACTATCCCACCCTGTAGAGTCTAAAATAGACCAAGAAAGAATAAAAAAAAAAGATAAGTAACTGGACTGGACAAGTACTCAAAATAAGTGTTATGAAGCATCAAAATACTAAAACACAACAGATAGCAAAGCTATTATTGTCTTTGGTCCTTGTGCCCATGATTCCTTTTTATGATATGTGTTAAATCTTACCATCACCAGGTTCACGCTGAGCATCTTTGATGAGTTCCTCAATGTGGTGACTGGAGGACAATCCTTTGCTGTCATTGATCACTCTCTGTTTGAAGTAGGTTGGCCACTTTGCCAGAAACTTTCCTGAGATCTCTTCTCCAAATAGTAGCAAAAAATCTTGTTCAATCTGTGTATAAAAATAAATAAATAAATAAAAAACAGAACAAACACTTATAAAACTTGAGGTAGAGGACACAATATTAAACAGACTACGATTTATACTTACAAAGCCAGGTGTGTCCAGGAATCTAGGGAACATGTCCAATACATCTAGAAACTTCTCTGGACTATGGACCATAGCCTGTCTGTATTGAAATGTTATCTTAATTTTTTCCCTAACAACGGTCTCATCTGAAGTGTGTTTCATAGTTGATATCGCCTCTCTGCACTCATCTCCGGTCAGCTGTTCGGTGTTTGAAAATGGTACTCTCTCTGAGAGTGGACCATTGTTGGCTTCAGTTGACTCGGGTCTGTTTTTTTCACCAACTGCAGTACTTCTCTTTACAGTTTTTAAGCACCAGGCCAGGTTTCCAGTGCCGCTAGATGCATCGTAGAAGTGCTCCTAAAAAAAAAAAAAAGAGCCCAGTAAACGAGTAAAAAAAAAAAAATGAAGGCAAATATAAAATATAAAATATAAAAAATTACATTTTTTTAAAGTTAATTATTTTTTTTAGAACTGTATAATCTGAAAAAAGCACTTACATATCCGTTTTTAGAATATGGGTCCTCCAGGTTAGGAAACAAAGTGACAATACCTAGTGCATACTTTGTCCGCACAGTTTGTGGAGGAGTTCTTCTGTTTTGAGTCATAAAGCAGGGACATTGGTAAACAAAGTGAATTGGGGACAAGACAACCTTTCAACATAAACCAGTCTAAAAGGGTACTTGAATTTTTTTTTTTAACTCAGACCATATTCATAATCCATCATTTATATTAAAATTCTTACCCAAGAGCTTCAATCATGTCGGCAACGAGCATGTTAACCAACTGTCTGTCTTTGCACTTGGATCCACATGTCTCACTTCTCAGTCACTCCGTGACAGAATACTCGGCCCCACAAGGATCCAGCGGCTTCTCGGATGGACATTGGCCAGGTATGGATACGGCAAGAATATTGTTAGCCTTTAGACAGGGCACACGATTGCTGGAAGGCTATATTCAAGAGTATTTAGCCATTGCTCATTATTCAGATCTGCTGGACTGTATACTATTAGACTTTTTTTGCGAGGGTATCAATGAACCTTTGAAGACACTATTAATCCATGAAGGTCCCCGTTCTTCTCTAAGTAATTTTATGGATTATGCTCTATTGTCTGTTGGTTCAGTGTTCACTGTGGGTATCGCGGAGGAACGCGACCCCGCACTCACTCGTGTAATGGTCCCCGCACTAGATCACGCTCACAAAATGGCGGTGACAGAGGAGCCTGATTGCAAAATGGCAGACACAACAGCGACCCGTTATGTCACAGTTGATTGTCATGAGGCAAGTCAAGTCACAGTTATTTTCTCCAATACAGAGCAGGAAAGGCTGTGCAGATCCGACTTTCTCCAAAAACATTGGAATGCTGGTTCCCATCTAGATAATATAAGAAAACCAGGCCAATTACAATGAATGCTAATTCTGTTTTATAGATGCAATGCCAAACATGGTCCAGTAAGTTACTGAAGAAAAGAAGGTACAACTGACATCTGTGATTTACGGTGGCTGAGAAGCACAAACCAAATCACAATTATGAAAACAAATGAACAAATCAAAAAACAAAATAGCTAGTCAGAAACAATTTTCATTTTTTTTTTTTTAAATGAAACGAGCATAATGAACGAGCATAATGTTTTTAGATTGTAATGTTACAATGTTATTATGAAATGTGATTTTGACCCTTTTTGCACATAATATATAGGCTTACATTGTTGCATTCACTTTATTAGTTGTCATAGCCTTTAATATATTGTTTCGTTGGACAACATTGGGCAGTATGTAAAATATATACTGTATATTAAATACCGATAAAAAAATAAAAATCCAGATACAAAAACGAAAATACCAAGATATATACCGTATATAGCAAATCGGCCAAATAATAGAGATATGAAGTTTTGCCCATATCACCCAGCCCTACCCATTAGCACTATATTTACATTATTTTATTAAAACTTCTGCCGCAGTGTGCTGTACTTAATTGACTGCATGTCTTGATTGACAGATGTATCATCCAATCTGCTGTAAGTATTCAATTCACAAAATATATCTAATCTTTTCCATTTTGTCATTGTGTTTTCTGACTTGCCATTTCGTTTTTAGACTTGGCGCTGCATTTATAGTTTGACGTTTTGTTTTTGGATTTGTTAAATTGTTTTCATAATTGTGATTTGTTTTGCACGTCTCGGCCACTGTGGATTTCAGAATGAATTAAAAACACATTAAAACTCACCCTAAGAAATCGCACCACATGGTCAGCTGCCTGAAGGGGGCTGATCTTTGCTGCCTTCTTGTGACCTTTTGGAGTTGGGGGCAGGAGATACAGCAGCAACAGTAAGGCTGAGATGTCACTATCCCACCCTGTAGAGTCTAAAATAGACCAAGAAAGAATAAAAAAAAAAGATAAGTAACTGGACTGGACAAGTACTCAAAATAAGTGTTATGAAGCATCAAAATACTAAAACACAACAGATAGCAAAGCTATTATTGTCTTTGGTCCTTGTGCCCATGATTCCTTTCTATGATACGTGTTAAATCTTACCATCACCAGGTTCACGCGGAGCATCTTTGATGAGTTCCTCAATGTGGTGACTGGAGGACAATCCTTTGCTGTCATTGATCACTCTCTGTTTGAAGCAGGTTGGCCACTTTGCCAGAAACTTTCCTGAGATCTCTTCTCCAAACAGTAGCAAAACATCTTGTTCAATCTGTAAAAAAAAACAAACAAACAGAACAAACACTTATAAAACTTGAGGTAGAGGACACAATATTAAACAGACTACGACTTATACTTACAAGGCCAGGCGTGTCCAGGAATCTAGGGAACATGTCCAATACATCTAGAGACTTCTCAGGACTATGGACCATAGCCTGTCTGTATTGAAATGTTATCTTCATTTTTTCCCTAACAACGGTCTCATCTGAAGTGTGTTTCATAGTTGATATCGCCTCTCTGCACTCATCTCCGGTCAGCTGTTCGGTGTTTGAAAATGGTACTCTCTCTGAGAGTGGACCATTGTTGGCTTCAGTTGACTCGGGTCTGTTTTTTTCACCAACTGCAGTACTTCTCTTTACAGTTTTTAAGCGCCAGGCCAGGTACCCAGTGCCGCTAGACGCATCGTAGAAGTGCTCCTAAAAAAAAAAAATTAAAAGAGCCCAGTAAACGAGTTAAAAAAAAATAAAAAAAATGAAGGCAAATCATTACATTTTTTTTTTTTTAAAGTGAATAATTTTTTAGAACTGTATAATCTGAAAAAAAGCACTTACATATCCGTTTTTAGAATATGGGTCCTCCAGGTTAGGAAACAAAGTGACAATACCTAGTGCATACTTCGTCCGCACAGTTTGTGGAGGAGTTCTTCTGTTTTGAGTCATAAAGCAGGGACATTGGTAAACAAAGGGAATTGGGGACAAGACAACCTTTCAACATAAACCAGTCTAAAAGGGTACTTGAATTTTTTTTTTTAACTCAGACCATATTCATAATCCATCATTTATATTAAAATTCTTACCCATGAGCTTCAATCATGTCGGCAACGAGCATGTTAACCAACTGTCTGCGGGTGCTGTCTGACAAAGTTTTGGTTTTATCGTATTCAAAACATTATTTTGTCTCCACCAGGTTTTGACTTCAGGACTATTTTGACCATCTGTAACATGAAGAAATACGTGTGAAATAAATGCAGACATTTACACACATATTTAAGCAGAAAAATATAAAAGGCCTTGATGTATTATTAATATAGTCACAGCTAAAGGGGCTGTGGACACAATGTGTAGTAGAGTGCGAGTAAACCCTCAGTTACAACTATATGAAAGATATGGCAATGACTCAGGACATCAACTAAATTAAGCCACAGCTCCAGTATATTAGTATTCTGTAGTATACTGACTCATTATATTAAATTAATAGGAAGTTATACAGCTTTACTGAGAAAACATTGGCTAACAAGATCGTTTTTGTAAATGAAGTCTCCCTGTACATTCTTACAATCCAAACTATTATATATGGGGCAATTTTTGCTGCGAAACTGCTTTTACAATTTATTTTTTTGATCACTACCCCGAGCAAAAATTGCTTGTTAGCATGGCAACTGCTTGGTGGGTCCACATTGAACACTTCTTGTGTTGTACTTCAAGCTCAGGAAAGAGGCTCTTTTTGTGCAATTAACTTTTTTCTTTGCTGAAATAACATACTATAATTTTAATGTCACACAAAATGTAGTTTGTGCAGAGGGTTGTACTTTCAGAACACGGCCAACAAAAAAAAAAAAGTCCGGTTTATGGCTGGTCGACTGGTGCATCTATAGATATAATAAAATATTAAGGACAGAAATAAATTGTCCTTGACAGCAAATGCTATGCAACAAGACCAGCAGCCTATAAGTGCTGTGCAGTGATATGATCAGAACCCTGGTAAAGAGGTCATAGTTGTGCTTTATCTTAAAGCATGGATAATGACTAATCAGTATACAAGGTAAGAGGTAACAATTTTTTAATAACATTTGCATAACTTACATTTTTTGCTGCTTGTTTGTCAGTAGTAGTACAGTCATCTGTCGTCCTTGCTTTCTTTCTCAGGGGATTGTCAGTAATCTGTGCTGATGCATTTGATGAACATGTTTCTGAAGACGTCAAGACATCAGATGTGTCTAGATTTTGGGGCAAAACAAATTCACATGAGGTCAAATTAAGCAGTTTACATAATCCTGCTTTAACTTCAAATAATTTATTTATGAAAAAAATGTGTCTAGAACAGTCGCTAGAACAAAACTTATAGAATTACAGTAAAACTGAACACACCATCATCCAAACAGGCTATGAGAGTGACACTGCCTTGCAGGAGGAGTTCACTGAATATGTCAGCATCAACCTCAGTCCCTGATGAATCCTTGTAAGTCACCTCTACATCAGTCGGCAGGGCAAATTTTTTTGCAGCTATGTTGGGATAAGAATGAAGTCAGAAAATGTTACGTAGTTAATAATGGTATTTACAATTAAATTAATATAATACAGTATGATGTACCTAAGCTCATATGCCCTATTACTTCTATATGTTACCAAAACAGCCTTCAAACCTTCCTGGTGAAACTGGTGATAGTTCAATTCCCCATCAGTCTCAGGGACCTTAACATACTTCTGTGCTCCTCTGCAAATCACCTTCACTAACATGTTTACTGAAATGTAGTAGCAGTACTCGATTAAGCACAGCACAACATGCATAATCATTCTCCTCTCAACCATTAAATTTTTTTCCAAACATCCAATAATTTACCCTTTCTATATTTCTAAGCATTCACTCTACTTTTACATATTTGCCCTTATCAAAAAAAAAACAAAAAAAAAAC